TATATATATATATATATATATATATTTTTTTTTTTTTTTTAACTACAGCTCCTTTCTTCTTCTTATTTTATTAAAAATTAAATTCCTAAAAATACCTTTCTCTTTCACATAATTCATTCCCTCTTCTTTTCGGTTTTCACTTGCATCCTAGTCTTCTTCTCACTTCTCACCTATCTTAATAGGTAGTTTTATTTATTTAAATTTTTTACATTACTTTCTTCCTCCATCCTTTTTCGGTTTTCACATTAATACATCTCCATCTCCCTCTTTTAGTTTTCAAACGCACCCAGGACAAAGAACTAGTGTTTGACAAAGTTATATACGTGTGTGACTTTCTTAGTAGTGTCTAAAGTGTCAAGTCAAATGTGCATTTTTTTCTTCAAGTACTTTTCCCCATTTACACATTTAGAAAGCACAACATTATATTTAGTGTTTATATTATTTTAATGTTTTGGAAATTTTTTTTTAATAATTCTGAAAAACTAAATTTGGTGTTTTAGAAAGTACTTTCTAAAAGTATGTAAAAAAAACAATTATAGAAAATACTTTCCAAAACACTAATTTTACTATTTCGAAAAGTACTTTCTGAAATATTGAAAGTTGAAGAGAAAGTTGACTACATCTTTGGTTTTGGTGTTACCCAACCCTAGTGAGACATTTGATGTGTTATGTGATTCTTCTCATTAGGGATTGACATGTGTATTGATGCAGTAGAGGAAGGTGGTAGCATATGCTTCTAGGCAGTTGAAGGTTCATAAGAGGAATTATCCCATTCATGACTTGGAGTTGGTAGTTATGGCATTCACCTTGAAGATTTGGAGACATTACTTATATGAAGGCAAGTTTAATGTTTTCAATGACCATAAGAGCTTGAAGTACTTGTTTATCAAAAGAATTGAACATCAGACAGAGGAGGTGGATGAAATTTTTGAAGGACTGTGACTTTTAATTGATGTACTATCTTGGAATGGCTAATGTGGTATGCCCCGAGTAGGAAATCCATCCACATTTCTTCATTAATGATTAAGGAGTTAGAGTTAGTGAAGAAATTCACAAATTTGAATCTTTATGGAGAGTTGGTTCAAGATCACATTAGTTGTGAGATGACTACCATTACTAATGAGTTATTGGAGTAGGTGAAGGAGAAACAATTGTAGGATGTAGAATTATTGAAGATCAAAAGGTTGTTGGCTACTGAGAAGGTTGTGGGATTTGAGTTGAGTGGAGTGAGATTTTGAGAGGTTTAAGGAAAAAATTTGTCTACCTTGGGATTTTGAGCTAGAGATGATGGTTTTGGAAGAAGGCCACAAGAGTCGACTTAATCTGCATCTTGGTATGATTAAGATGTACCAAGATCTCAAGAAGAGTTTTTGGTAGTCTAGTATGAAAAGATAGTTAATAGAGTATGTGGTAGCTTGACTGACTTGTCAAAAAGCTAAGGTGGAGCACTAGAAATTGTGTGATTTATTACAATTGGTGGAGATTTTAAAGTGAAAGTGAGATAACATTACTATGAACTTCATAGGTGGATTATCTAATTAAGTTTGCTAGGAGTAGTAATGTTATTTGGATGATAGTTGAGAGGTTGACTAAGTGTACACTTTCTTCGTATCAACATAAAGTGGTCCTTGGAGAAACTTACCTAGTTGTATATGCAATAGATAGTATGATTACATGAAGTGCCTTCCAATATTCTTAGATAAGGATCCAAGGCTCACTTTCAATTTTTGATAGAGTTTGCACCAATCCCTAGGGACAAGGATCCCTGGGACAAATGATCAGTCAAAAAGGACTATTCAATCATTGGAGGACTTGTTCAGGACTTGTGTTCTAGATCACCTTAGCAATTGGGAGGATGTATTACCTTTAGTGGAGTTCACTTGCAACAACATTTTACATGCTAGCATTGGTATGACATCTTTTGAGGTCTTGTATGGGAGAAGATATAAAACTTTTTTATGTTGGTATAAAGAGGATGAATTAATTATGGTGAGAATACAATTAGTTCTACAAATTACAGAAAAGGTAAAAATGATGCAATAAATGATGAAAACTAAACAAAAGTTTTATGCTAATAGAAGGACAAAGCCTTTGGAGTTTGAGGAAATAAAAAGAGGAACGGGTTCCTCAAGTCTTGTATAATCTTCCCACACATTGTGCAAGAGCTGTAAATAGAACATTAGTCTGAAAATATGAGCAACAGTAGTAGTATTTTACCTACAATATTTGTCTGAAAAGTCACCAATGAAGCTTTCCACCCTGGTTTGACAAAACCTGCAACAATGATCGCACCACTCCATAACAACATTTGTAATGATCAATCCAAAACTGTCCTATTTCTTGGGAACCAAATCAACCAATTATGTTGCCCATTGACAAAGTATCTACACCTTTATATATTATTTAGAGGAGAATGCTTCCACAAGACTTGCTTTTAAGTATGCTCATGCAGGGTCAAGCTATGTTCAAATAATGATATCAGTTAACATTATGAGAGTTAAAAGAGAGTTACCCAACCAAGAGAAATTTAAAAATCAAGAAATTTTTTTTATATCTTTCATTTATTGATAACTATATTTCCTATGTATTCACTTATAATGTACATTAAACATAACTATCACTTAAAGTAAATAATGATTTATTTGAAATAAAATTTAAATTTATTGTAAAATTAATTTAAAGTAATATATTAATTACTATCTTTGTTTCTAACTTCCTTTATATAAGACTCAATTATCTAATTCATCAAGATTAAAAAAATAGTTAATTTAGTTTATAATAATAAATTTGTTTTATTTATATTTTCTTTTCTAGAATTACACTCCCTTTTTTTCTTCAAATTAATACTCATATATCTTTTAAATAATTAGGGTATATGATTTTTTTTAAAAAAATTATAACATTAATGTATTTTATCAAATTAAAAAAACACATTTTAATTAGGATTATTTTAGTTTAAAATAATTAATATATGAGACAATATAAATCAAATTTTTATATAAAAGATCATACAATTATTTTAAGTTGAGTTTTATAAATAGGAATAAAAGTAATACTTTTTTGACCTTGATACTTTATCATATATTATTTATAATTAAGATAAAAAATAATATAATTATAATATTGTCCTTTTGCAATTTAAAAAAAAAAAAATCACCAATTTAAAAAGGCACAAGAGCAAGCACAACAAAAAAAAATGGTTGAAACGAACTAGTCATAATAAAAGAAGGTTTAATTATAATAAGATAAAAAAATTAAATACATTTTTGTCACTCAAGTTTTATAGTTTAACAAATTTCACTTCAATTTTTGAAATTGTATATTTTGGAACTCAAGTCGCTAATTTTTATACATTTTACTACTCTATTTTTTTCTAATTTTTTTATCGTTAACTTGTTAAATTCACTATTAACATATTCTTTTATCATTCATATGTTACATCAATAATTTATACATATCAATAGTCAATTTGTTACTTCAGAAGTCAATTAATAGAAACATGCAATCAATTAATAAAGTTATAAAATATGTAAAAAAAAATTAATGTAATTTTAAAATAAAAATTGACCATCTAATTCAACCCTAAAATAATTTGGAGAGAAAAAGTGTGATAAAACCGAAAATAAAAAATAAAGAAAAAAAGAAAAGTAATGACTAAGGATGACAAATATACTCGTACCTACGAGTAATACTCAAACTCATTCCGACTTTGACGAAGAATACCCGGTTTGATTAGGTACGGGTACGGGTAAAACCCTATACTTTCAATCGGGTACGGGTACAGGTACGGGTAAAACCCAATACTTTAAATCGGGTACGGGTACGGGTACGAGTATGTACTTCCCCGCCCCGTACCCGTACCCGTACCTATCCCCGTTCCCATTTTTAATTTAATATTCACTTTCAATTTAATTATATTAAATAATTTTAATATTTTTTTATGTGTGATTATTTATTATAATATGAGATAGAGAAATAACTTAATTATAATTATAATATAATAAAAAAAATATAAAAATATCATATTTTTTTAAAAAAATAAAAAATAAAAATTTTGACAAGTACGGGTATACCCGATATTAGACGGGGACAGGATGAGGATGAAAATCACATACCCAACAGCTACGGATACAGAAACGAGGATGAGTTTGACTCGCAAAAATAGAGACGAGTATCATGAAACTCGTAGCTGACACGCCTCATTGTCATCCCTAGTAATGACATCTAAACGAAATTAATAGTATTGACTTTAAAATTACAAAAACAATTAAGAAACACATGCACGTGAAAAGCACCAAAAGTGGGTTGTATTAATTTGTAGCAACTAGGTAATTGTGACACTAATCTCTTTAGTTCTATGAGACAGTTTTGGTTGTCTCCAAGATGATCGAAGAACACAGTTCGTCACATGCTTCCGATGAGCACAAGGCACCACTTCTCCCCGTTCACGAGCCAGTTGAAAGCAGCGTCTCCTTCAGCTTCAAATCCCTTCTCACACTGAAAAACTTTTATGTCATTCTGGGACCTTTGTTGTCCATTTTCATATGCCTCCTCGTGAAGCTCGACGCTCCACCCACAAGCCAGAAAATGCTTGGTGTCATTGCATGGCTCTTCGCTTGGTGGCTCACGGAGGCCGTGCCACTTGCCGTCACCTCCATGTGTCCCTTGTTTCTCTTCCCTCTCTTTGGGATTGCTTCATCTGATACCGTCGCCCACTCTTACATGGACGACGTCGTCACGCTCGTTTTGGGAAGCTTCATTCTCGCTCTCGCCGTTGAACGCTATAATGTGCATCGGAGATTGGCCTTGAACGTGAGTAACTCCTTTTTCCCTCTACTGTAGTTTTGACAAAACCAAATTGTTGCACTTATTTTATTATTGCAATCGATTTCCTTAGTCTGAGCGATCAAGATACAGAGTGTTCTCTCTCTCTCTCGCTATTTTTTATTGACAATTATTCAGATTTTCTTTCCATGTGGTCCTAGTATACTCAATTATTTGATATTAGAAATGATTCAAGTTTCGACTTTTTCTTCCAAACAGACTTATGTTCGATCGAACTAGCTATTTTAAAATAGTACAAAACTTCATCAATAATTATTGTGTTGAACCTGCTTTATAAATTAAATAAGTTAAATTTAATTTAAAATTTAAATTCAGTAAATAAATGAATTAAATTTAAGTTATGTATAATTTAATTTATTTGATTCATGATTTAGCATCTAAATATATAATTTTTTTTATTTAATTCTAACTTATTAAAATTTAAAAGAATCTACCAAACTTATAGTTATAAGTTAATAATATAAGAAGTGGACACCTTAATATATATTGCATGATATGGATTGAGTTTTTTTATTATTTTTTTGTAAGGAGGAATATTTTTTTTATATATGCGAACTTTGATTATAATTATGTAATTTTGGAATCATACTTTGTAATCTTACAAAACTAATAGAATAAGTTATATTTTATCTTTTCAAAAAAATACTTAAATCATCATTTTATCTAAAAATTTATTAATAAGTAGAAATTTTGAGAAGTATAGGATTTAACAATTTTGACTCTTGCTTTATATGATTTGAGCTAATGAATTGAATCAAGTTGTTTGCAAACTTAAATCTAATAGAGTTTGAGCTAAAATAAAAGATTCGAATTGAATTTTGAGCTGAATTTTATCATACTTCAAATTCAAGACAGAGACGAATTTCTATTGGAGAAAAGGTAGATTAGGTGTCACTATCTATTATATAGTTTTTCAATTATCTAAAAAAATTATTTGATAGTTCACATAATAAATAAAAAATCTAAGCTTTTATTTTGTCCATATAAAAAAATCTAAATAAGGATACTAATTTTATTAGTCTCTCAATTTTGAAATAAACTTATTTTTATCCTTTAAATTTAAATTTTTTAATTCATATTATTCTATAAAACCTTATTTCAATCTTCTAAGACCTAGCATCACTAATATATTAGCATTAGTTGATTTAATATAATATACATTTACTAATAAAGATACTCATAGATGAATTTTATATAAAAGTATATTTTGTTTGACAAACTCATTAGCGGAATAAAGAGACTAGAATAATCTGTTTTAAAATTACAAGAGTAAAAGGTTCCATATTAAAATTGAGGGACAGAAATAAAAGTGTTTCGTATTTAAGAAACTGAAATCGACCTCTAGATATATCACTAAGGTGAAACTTTAATTCACGTAGTGGATATGATTTGTGAATGTGACATGGCCATGGGTCCTACAGGTAACGTTGCTGTTTTGTGGGGATCCGATGAGTCCCGCGTTGTTTTTGTTGGGGTGGTGTGTGACGATATTCTTGGTGAGCATGTGGCTGCTGAACATGCCAACGGCGGTGATGATGATGTCAGTGGCGACGGGGATCGTGGAGCGGCTATCGACGGTGCAGGAGCAATCGGAGGCTATAAACAAGTTCTGCAAGGCTGTGATTCTGACGGTGGTGTTTGCGACACCCATTGGAGGGATAAGCACTCTTACGGGGACGGGTGTGAACTTGATAATAGTCGGAATGTGGAAGAGCCTCTTCCCTGAGGCAAAGCCAATCAGCTTCAACACGTGGTTCTTCTTTGGTTTCCCTGTGGCTATTCTCATCCTCCTTTGTTTTTGGTGCATTATTTGCGTCCTCTATGTGCCAAAAGGCTCTGCTCGTGCTTTGTCTCCTTACTTGGACAAAACTCACTTGAAAAGGGACCTCGAAGCTCTTGGTAAGTTTCTCACTTCAACCCTACACAAAACTAGACTCGCATGTGCTCCAAAACAAGTTAAATCAATTGCAATTCTTTTATATATGCTTGTTTGCAGGTCCCATGGCTTTTGCTGAGAAAATGGTGTTATCTATGTTTGGGGTATGTATGTATGCCTAGATATACCTTTGAAATTTTTAAATGTTTACTGTGTTTTCAATCAGACAATTAAGACTTTAATTAAAGCCAAATGGTAAATTAATGCAGTTGTTGATCATACTATGGATGACAAGAAGAATCACAGATGACATTCCTGGATGGGGAGTTTTATTCCATGGCCTTGTTGGTGATGGAAGTGTCAGTGTAAGTATTGTGTTTAAATGGTTCTTTTAGTAACATATGTCTCGTTACACCAAGAATTGGAGTCTCCAATTAATGTAAGTAACCAAAATGAAGGCTAGCTTCTATACAATTAATGTAGATTATGGTGGCTGTTTTATTGTTCATAATCCCAAACATGAAGCAAGAGGGGGAGAAGCTAATGAGTTGGAATGAGTGCAAAAAGTTACCTTGGAATCTCATTTTGCTTCTAGGAGCTGGCTTTGCCATTGCTGATGGAGTACAATCTAGTGGCCTAGCAAATGTTCCGTCAAGGATCTTAGATTTTTTAAAAGATACTCCACGCTGGGCCATTGTTCCGGCTGTTAGTTTAATATGAAGTATTATTACTGAGTTCATCACCTCCAATGCTGCCACTGCCACCTTTCTTGTCCCACTTCTGTATCAGATAGCCAGGACTATGCATGTGCATCCTCTTCTTCTTATGATCCCTGGTGGAATAGCAACCGAGTTTGCTTTCTGGCTTCCAACTTCAACACCATCAAATGCACTTGGGTTTGCCACTGGACACATAGAAATTAAAGATATGCTCAAAGTTGGTGTGCCACTCAAGGTTGTTGGGATTGTTGTCTTGTCTCTTCTCATGCCATCACTAGGTGAGTTATATATACCTTCTATGTTACAGTAGACAAAAACATTTGGTTGAAAAAGGTTCTGACATCCATGTTTTGTTGTTGCAGGAACTATTGTTTTTGGAACTGATACTTTTACTCAATAATTAACCAAGGAAAACTTTTGTGGGAAATTCATTTCTTCCCCAAACTCCCCTTTGTTTTATAAATTTTGGATGGGTCTTTTACCATTCATGGAATCCAGTTTATTTAGGGGAACAAAATTTAAATATTATGTAATGACCTTATGCTATATCTAAGTAATGAAGAATAATGTGTGCAAGTATCAAGAGACAAAAGGAGAAGACATGGAAATTAAAATCCCATCTCAATTCTTTTTTATTTTGTATTTGTTAATTTGTTACAAGTAATGCTTTGAAGAAGGAAAGAAAGTAGATCGAGATGGAGTGGAGGACGGATTTCAAGAGCACAAGCCTACCACCGAAGGACAATAATTTGCTCTTCCATTTAGATAACTTTTTTTCCACCTTCCGCACCACGGGCTGCCAGGTCGTCAAGCGAGCGAGATTAGCACCAAGTGGTAATCCTAGATAAGAGCACGGGAAAGACCCAACTTTGCAATTTAGAAACTGATCCAAAGACTGCAACCAAACCTGGTCAACGTTAACACCCAAGAGCTGACTTTTGAAGAAATTAACCTTGAGACCGACTACTAACTCAAACAGTTGTAGAATAGCTTTAATAGCCCAACCATTACTCAGAGAAACATCGCCCACTAGGATGGTATCATCAGCATACTGTAGATGTGTTCTGGCACTGCATCCCCACCAACCATATAGCCTGTAAACACACATTCTTGCACTGCTTTAGACATCAAAGAAGACAATCCTTCTGTAGCAATCAAATAAAGAAAAGGAGCCAGTGGGTCTCCTTGTCTCAACCCTCTACCAACTCCAAATTCACTAGATGGACTTCCATTCACAAGAACAGACACTCTAGCAGTGGCTAAACACTCTGCTATCCACCTCCTCCACAAAATTGGAAACCTCATTTTTTCCATAACAAACAAAATATACTCCTAATTGACAAAATCATAAGCCTTCTCAAAATCAACCTTCAACATCAAACATTGTTTTTTCTTTCTTTTTGCCTCTTCTAGAATTTCATTGGCAATCAAGACACTATCAAGAATTAGCCGTCCTTTCAAAAATGCTGATTGACTCTCAGAAATAACTTTCCCAATGACTTTCTTCATTCTATTTGCCAGTACTTTCGCTAACACCTTATACATACATCCAATTAAGGAAATAGGTCGGTATTCCTCCACTTTTTGAGGATTATCAGTTTTAGGCACAAGAACCACAAAAGAGCTATTGGAGCCTTTAACTAATTTCCCATTAGCATGAAACTCATGTAAAAAAGCCAAAAAGTCAGCTTTAATATCATCCCAAAAATCCTTGATAAAAGTGAAATTAAATCCATCAGGTCCTGGATTTTTGGGTCCTTCACAATCCCACACTGCAATCTTAACTTCTTCATCAAAAAATGACAAGATTAAGGTTGTAGCATCTTCTTCTGACAATGTTTTAAAGTCGGTATCTTGAAGTCGAGGTCTAGCATGCAAACACTCACGGAAGTGCCCTTCAAAAAATCCTTTGACTGCCTCTTTTATTGTCGAAGGCTCATTATACCTTTCATTGGCCACCTTCAAGCTTCGAATCTCATTTTTTAACCTTCTACGATTGATACAGGCATGGAAAAATTTTGAGTTAGCATCTCCTGCTTGCAACCAATTAAGACGCGACTTTTGAAACAATAGATTATCCTTAAGAGTCAATGATGCACACAACTGAGCTCTCCACTCCTTTCTTTGCACAACTTCAACTTCTTGTAGATTAGAATCTTCACTCTTAAGATCCAGCATGTTAACAATAATCCGAGCCTCATTTATTTTCTTGTCTAAACAATCAAATGTCTCTTGATTCCACTGACGCAATCTACATTTTAAGAGCTTGAGTTTCTCCTTTAGTACAAATGCAGCTCTCCCCTCCACATTTAATTCCTTCCATTGGGATCTCACATTTAATTCACGTTATCGATCGATTGTATTCAAATTTATGGTATAAATGATATATCTTTTGTTCAATGACAGGTCGTGCCTTGAATAAAGTTCGAAGCCATGTAAAGATATGCAGCGAGTACCGTGTGTCTCTCTTAAATTCTTAATGTTCCACATGTTGATGTAAACCTGTTTTGTTTTTTTGTTTTTTGGAACAAGGAAAATGACTTTGAGTTAGGTTTGATATCAATAAATTTTTTTCACTGGTATTTATTAAAAAAAAAAAGTTTGTCACTTCGCAAGTTAAAGTTAATTTAAATATTTAATTTTCTTTAAAAAAAATCATTTAACTTCTACAAAAAAAAATAAAATTAAACGCGTGATTTAATTTTATCTCAAGAAGAAATTGATTTGGTTTATCTTTTGCCTTATTCAAATATACTTTTTTTTTATTATAAATCTAAATTCTTGTCTTATATGAGATTATTTTTAGGAATTATTTTTCAACAAAAATCTTTTTCAATAAAAATATCTTTAAAAGCTATTATCACTTTTATTGTATTACATGTCTTATCTTAATCTCATGTATTAATTTTTTTTTATCACTTTCAATCTACTTCTCTCATCTTTATTTTAAAATTAAATATTTATATTATTTAAAATTTATTAAATTAATATTTGAAATAACTTTGGATGGTTATATAAAGTATTTATCATAAATCTGAAATACATTTTATATGTTTAAAAATAGTTATTTGTCATAAATTTGTATTTACATTTAAAATATTTGTTTATTATAAGGAATTTTGGTTATTTAAAAATTTAACTCGTGTATTACACGTATTAAAATACTTGTTATGTACATTTTGATGGTTATGCTATTTACATAGAGTAGTTTGTATTTTTTTTGATGGTATTAGAAAAATGCAGGGTTATTACTTATTGTTAATTATGACATTATGATGATTTGATTAGAGGATGGAAGAGTGAATAAGATGTTGGTGTTGTTGCTTTTTGGTACACAAAAATAGTAAAATTTAACATTTGTGTAGAGCTAAATTAATCCATATAGTAGTACATTGCTTCAAGTCTTCTCTATACTTAATGCTAGAAAGCGATATTTGATTGTAGAATGTGACATCCGTGGGATTCGAAACCAAATTCAGGGTTTCACTCTGCAAATTGGGCTCCATTTCATTTTGGATTGGGCCCAGAGGGGTTTACCGTGTCCTGCCACGTGGTCCATGTCCCGAGGCTGGTGATAAACACACCTCCACTCTCATATAAACACACCCCCTTTTTAAAAAAAAATATGTAAAATGTCTAAATTACCCTTTAAAAAAAATGAAATTCTTAAATTTACACTTCCCTTCCCCCACCCTCCTTCCCCGCACCCCACATTTCACACCCCTCTTCTTCCCAAAGCCTCTTTCCGCTCAATGTTATTAAGCAATATACTTTTACAGTCATTCTGAATAGAAAAAAAGGACTAGTCCCACCATAATCAGCATAAGAAAGGTTCTTTTACAATCATAGCATTTCGAAAAGTACTTTTACAGTCATTAGCATTCCGGAAAGTACTTTTCGGAATAGAAATTATTGTTCATATAATTCCGGAAAGAACTTTCCGTAATAGTAACTTTAATATTATGGAAAATATTTTCCGGAATTATATAACAAAATATTTCCGGAAAATACTTTCCGGAATAAGAATTTAATATTATGGAAAGTATTTTCCGGAACATTTTTATATAATTCCGGAAAGAACTTTTCGTAACAGTAAGAAGAAGAAGAAGAGGAGTGCCAGAAAGAGAAAGAAGAGGGGTGCGCAATGTCGGCAAGTGATTTTGTATGAGAAAGACTCTTACTTGTTCTATGAAAAGAAAGATTAGTACAAAAATAACTTTTAAAATCGGGGTTTTAAAATCAGTCATAAGGTAGCCATTTTAAAAGTGACGCGGTGGCCTGTACTGCAACAGAACGGCCCCAGAACGGCCCTTGCTGCAAGCAGAACGGCCC